AAAGAGGTATATTGCTAGTAGTAGTCGTAGTAGTTGTATCTGTTGTAGCTTTTGTTGAGTGGTGGCAACGGCAACAATAAGCTGATGGATGTACATTATACTGTTGTTGCTATTAGTATTAGCAGTACCAAACTCTGCTGCTGCGGCCGCCATATCGTGTCATCATGGAGGGGTGTTTTGCTTATTATTAGGTAGGGCTTCATTATTTTTCTGCTGCAGGGAGCTGAACAGGACTACCCCACACTGCTGCAGCTGCGGATACGTAGTATGCTGTCATGCTGCGTGTGCGTGTGCGTGTGCGTGTGCGTGTGCGTGTGCGTGTGCGTGTGCGTGTGCGTGTGCGTGTGCGTGTGCATGTGCATGTGCATGTGCATGTGCATGTGCGTGTGCGTGTGTGTGTGTGTGTGTGTGCGTGTGCGTGTGTGGAGAGTCTCCAGCCCTCCATCAAAACCCCCTCCCTCCCATTGATCACCGCCTCTACCCTCGCCCTGGCCCCTGCCACGTCCACACTTCTGCCAGTCTTGCGGGCACATGTGTCCTCCCACCCCCAAACCCCACCTCGTACCAGGTACCCCTCATAAAACCGCTCATACCCCACAAAACCTCAGCCCCGCCAAACCCCAAACACCTCGTACCTCGTGCCCCTCAACAACTCAAAACCCCCAAACCACAACCACACAATTTCAAACATTTTGCCCCTCGTCCCTCGAACACCTATAGCACCACAAAACACCAGTTTGAAGACACAAACACCTAGTACCCCCAATCCCCCAATCCTGCAATCCCGCAATCCCCCAATCCCCCAATCCCCCAATCCCGCAATCCCCCAATCCCCCAATCCCGCAATCCCGCAATCCCGCAATCCCCCAATCCCCCAATCCCGCAATCCCCCAATCCCCCAATCCCCCAATCCCCCAATCCCCCAATCCCCCAATCCCCCAATCCCGCAATCCCCCCCATCCCCCCATCCCCCCATCCCCCCATCCCCCAATCCCGCACCCCCCCCCCATACCCCAATCCCGCATTCCCCCAAT